CAGCCACTACCGGTCAACGGTCATTTGTCAATAGTATTTGACGTTAAACGTTTGAAATAAAATAGTAAACAAATTACATAAATAGATATAGAAAAAGAGATTTTTAAAAATAATATATTACATAAATATATAAATAAAAGATGAAGTCTATATACTTTTGTAGCTAAAATATTTTTTATCAGATTACGATTTATAATTATAAGTTAAATGTATAGAAATATATAAGATAATAGGTCAGTTTACGCTGCTTGCACGTTTTGTACTAAACATCTCTTTGTACTAAACTCTGCTTTTCTTTCTCTTCAACACTTGAATATATATTTATCTCACATAAGTGTAAAAATTTTTGGGGATTTTAAGCAATGCAAATAGACCTATGTAAGATAAGAATCTGAACAAAATAAGAAACGTGATAAGAATCTGAAAAATAAAATTAGTCAATAAATTTCTGTAAATTTTAGAGAACTCCAAGGATAAACATGCATCGTAACATTGAGATCAAAGCCATAATTCGAGATATTAAACAAACCATTTCAAAAGCTACAGAGCTGAGTGACAACGCTCAGGAAATCAAGCAGCATGATATCTTTTTCAAGACAAAGGAAGGAAGATTGAAATTACGAAAGTTTAAGGTTGGAGCAGTTATTAAATTTTTCAATTAACCAAGTATATAATTACATAATATTATCATCTTAATACCAAGCATTTTTGTCTTGTTCTTTAGGATGGTACCGCAGAGTTAATTTTGTATAAGAGACCTGATGTTTCTGGACCAAAGTTGTCTACTTATGACAGAGTATCTTTAAACTCAGATATTGTTGAGTCAATTGAAAGTATTTTGATCCAATCTAATGGTATACTAGGAGTTGTTAAAAAAACGAGACTCTTATTCATTGTTGGACAAACTCGAATACACATTGACAAAGTTGATGGTTTGGGTAATTTTATAGAACTAGAGGTTTGTACTTATATAAAATTTACTTATTATAGCTGTATCAATAAAGATCAGTAAACATGTAATATGGATTGGTATATCAATAAATATAGGTAGTGTTGAAAGAAGATCAGGATATAATAACTGGACAGAAGATTGCTGACGACCTCATGCAAGCATTACTCATAAAAAAAGATGACCTAATCGCTGAAGCATATATAGATCTGCTTAATTCCAAAACATAAGTATTGTTTATTCTGCTGTTTACATATTTTGTATTTTCATACAGATGTAAAAATTAATAAACAATTGTTTTACTTATTCCATAGTGTAAAAGTATAACACAGTTCTATTTTTTACAATAAATTATGTGTGCCTCACATAATAACAAAGTAGTTTTCTCATTTTTCCAGAAATTGTGTATGCACAGTAAATGTTAAAATTAATTACATTTTACTTTTTTGGAGGTCTGTTCTTTATACCTGCACTTGAAATAAGTTGTATAATTGAACCTGTATTGAAATTAGTGGCAACTTCAAATTAAGGTTACGATTTATCGTTAGCTTTTTCCCAGATGTACCGGACCTTTAGTTGTATAATTAAACATTTAGAAATAAAGAAAACAAAGACAAAAATTGAAAAGTACAGAAAGAACTAAAGAAGAAATTTCTAGAACATTGAAAAGAAAAAGAGCGCAGAATCCGAGTGCTAAAAGTGCAAGTAAAAACGAACAGATCTTAGCGTCGTATGACTTTAGACAGTACGTTTCCTAACCTTAAACAACGTTTTTAATTGCCTTAACACAAACGAACTGCATCATTTTGTAATCGCAAATTTCGTATTTCACACGTCTCAAAATGTCTTATATGCTATCGCATTTGGAAAACGGCTATCAAGTCGATCAAGCTATTCTGTCGGAAGAAGACAGAGTCGTAGTGAGTATTTCGACATGTTTCATTCACTTTCACTTTATTTCTCGTTATAGATAAACATTAAGCCAGTTATAACAGAATTATTTCGAATTAGAACTCACCTGTTGAAAATAATATCTCTTTCTTTCTAGGTGATTCGCTTTGGACACGATTGGGATCCGATGTGTATGAAAATGGATGAAGTACTCTATAATATCGCAGAGAAAGTTAAGAACTTTGCCGTTATTTATTTGGTGGATATCACAAAAGTGCCAGATTTTAATAAAATGTAAGTAAGAATTTATATCCTTAAAAGTCTATATGTTGCATCAATAATTAATTAACAATTTAATTAATTCTTTAAAGAATAAATAAAATCTATTAAGATATAAATTAATTAAGATTGATCATCAAGATATATTTTAGTGGTACAATATTTTAACAATAATGTATATAAAAATATATATATACATATATATTTTTGACAGGTATGAACTGTATGACCCATGTACAGTAATGTTCTTCTTCAGGAATAAACATATCATGATAGATTTAGGTACTGGAAACAATAACAAAATAAATTGGACACTGGAGGACAAACAAGAAATGATCGATATTATTGAAACGGTTTATAGGGGTGCAAGAAAAGGTCGAGGTTTAGTTGTCTCTCCTAAAGATTATTCTACTAAATATCGATATTAATTTAATTGTAAAATATATGAACGTTTTTGTATTTTGAAGATAAATAATAATGCTATATTTATCTCAAGGCAATACATTACATGAAAGAAACTAGATGAATTTCATGCTGAATGGATAATTGTAAGCGTTGTAATTTATACTGTGCATATTTTAAAAATAAGTATAAGATAAAATAAGTATAAAGTACAAAATGCATAAATTATATGAATAAGTGTACATACGATAACTTATCAATAATACATATATTTTAAAGAATTTTATAAAATTTCTTATTTACTATTTTATTTATGGTTTATATTTAAATGTACGTTCTAATTACAATATCCATCTCTGTTACTTAAAATGTTTTCTAGTTGGACTAGTTTCCTTAAGGCATGCTATATTAGGCAATAACGCTGAGAAACATATTCGGTATCACATAATATATTCTGGCATCTGATGTATGTTCATATATGGAAATATTCATACATAAAATTACAATTCTTTATAAAAAAATGGTACGTAAAGTATACAATATCAATTCTATCTTAAGATTTCTATCTTATATTCTATCAAGATAATTATATTTACATGTAATTACAGTGTATACTTTGGTCTAACATCTAAGTATTAATGATTAATTTAACACGTGAATAATTATAAACAATTCAGTCGTCTCTCACATAGCTGTAAAATAGATAGATTTAGTAAATCACTTAAAGTAATGAAAAATTTGTACAATGTAAATTTCATAAATTAAAGAGATAGACTTACTGTTTGTTACATGTTGTACGCTATCGCCAAGTACATTAGTTGAACTTGAATAAGTTATTAATGGAATACTCTCCTGTATTAAACTTTCTCTATTTATTAGCTTGTATGAATCCCTCAGTGGTTTAAAAATACAATTCAGAGTACGGGATTTTTCTGAAAAATAACATCTGTTAACATCGTTTTTATAATGAAAATTTTGTGTATATATATATTGATATCTCTCACTGACCTATAGGTATGTGATGAGTTTTTATATTTATGGCATCCATTGATTTGCATTGTCTCAGATCTTAAAATAAAATTATATAGGATAAAATCTATATTACATTATATAAATGACATTTCAAACAGATAATATTGAACAAAATCATGTTTTCTTGCCATTTAATTTTTGATACAACATGTACTTAATACAGTTTAAATTCATGAGATTTTATTTCAGTCTTACCGCTATTTGTTATACTTGAAGTGGACCGAGAAAAGAGAGTATCGATTGATTCCAGAGATATGGAGTTATGTTTTTTTACTGGAATAATTTTAATCATGCAGTATATTAGAAAAAATAATAATTAGATAAAGATATAAACAATTGTGCAATATAGAACTGACTCAAAAAAGCAGTTCGATGATTGTAGTTTAGAAAAAACACCACAATAATAAAATTTTGCTTCTTAATATAATGCCAAAAATAATCACTGGTTTAAAATACAATTTATTCGTTCCATATTGCATTATGTCCAATTCATAGCAAGCATATATCAGCTGCAAAATTATTCTCAAACCATACATAGAGAAGCAATGAATGTTATATGTTTAGCTCAAACGATATTAAATAAATACACGAAATAGTAAGAAATATATATAAGTAAAGCAAGAGGGAAATGCAAAGCGGAAAAAGATAACGCGATCCAAGCATTTTGTTCCTACCTCATCACGTATTAAATAGTTGGAGAGACTCTCATTCTGTAGTACAAAATAGATTAGTGTTATTTCTATCGTGCTTTCTTTAATACTATTAATAATAAGAGTAAAGAAAATATCTAGTCTGCTACAGGGAATAAATATACATATATATTAAATATATAATACATACATATTTCAAGATTGTTGACTAGAGTTGTGTCTGAATTTGTTGTATCTTTGGCTTTCTTAGAAGTGTTCTCATATATTGGCTCAACTGGTGGTGGTTTGTCTATGAGAATGTAAGAAAATAAGTTTTTTTTTGGAGAAATATATACCAAGCATAGTATTTAAAAAAATACTTACAAGTTTTTAAGAAATAAGGATTCTTGAGTACTTGTTTTATACAATTATATATATAAGCGTATTGACTCTGAAAAAATGAACATGTTCTTTTTACATTATATATGAATTTAAACAAATACGTAACATAGACTCGATGAAAAGTTAAATCAATTATTTTTCAGTAAAAACATCGATTTTTCGTAACTTCTTAAATTTTAATATTCAATATCTTATCTAACCGAAATATAGATTACATAATGTTTTTTTGCTAATTTAGTATTATTTAACTATGAATCACTTACTTCTCTTTGTACCATATTTATTCTATGATGTCGTAATCTATACACAGTTCCAAATACATCTAATTTTCTATTATCTCTAATTTGTTGCAGAAGAATATCTATCGCTATTAATGTTCCTGTTCTACCAATCCCTGCACTGTAAAGAAATGATATTTTCTATTATTAAGAAATGAATTAATAACAACGCTATGATTGAAACCATAAAATGCAAAACAGCTTTATTTGTAGAAAATTTGTTTATACCTGCAATGAACAACGACGGAACCTTTATTAGCGATAATATTGCGGCGCATTATTTGGCAAAAATTGATCATTGGATCGAAATCTTCTGGAACATCGTGATCGGGCCAGTCTTTAAAGTGCAAGTGAGTAATATTTCTTTTCTTATTTTCCTGTAATTATTTGTATTTTTTAGATGTTTTTTTACAAAAAATTTTGTAAACATATGTACTATTCATATTAAAAAAGATACCTTTTGTAATACAAGCGTTCTTTGGGTATGTGTTCTGAAGTCTAATTCACTTGTACATCGTATTATCATGTCTTCGTATCGAAAAGTTTCCCCTGTTGTCGGATAGTATTGATGACATTTTTCCTGAAAAGCAGATTAATTAATGTTAAATGGCATTAACATTACGCTAATTATTATCGATAATTGTAATTTACTTTGCCCTTCTCGACCAACTGTGTCAGCATAACTATAATATTAATGTTATACTGATTGATCATCCTCCAGAAATCGTAAGTAGTTTCCTCTTTTGGACCTTGACAAGCTATGTATTCATCTTCTCCTGTATATCCCTGATGCAAAATAAATTCACATTTTTTCATTCATATAGGATATTCAATAATTCTCGTTAAAAATTGAGATAATTTCTCCTTTAACGAAATTTCATAATTTTAAGCTTTTTTAAATTATTTTGAAATTAAATGTCCCAAGATTCAATTAACTATTTTATTAAATTAAGACTATTTGTTTCACAGAAGCGTAATTCATAAAAGAATCTTTCTTCTTAATTAGTTGCAATTTAAATATGTTTTCACTCATATTTTTTATAACTATTTATGACATTTTTGTTTAAGCAATAGAGGAAGATTGTCGGATTAATATACACATGTGCGTATGTAAAATATTTACCCTTATAAATGATGCATTGATATAATCCGTATTAGGATCGTTATCTATTACATCCAGCTTTACTCTTGAGAAATCATCTGAAAGTATGAATCATATATAATAGTTGCAAGTTGTAAGTATGCGCGAGTAAATTGCAAGACAAGTTCATACATGGTAAAATGTCGGAGTAGCGATTTTTCTTTCGGTTAGCTTGCAAGCAAGCTGAATTTGTGGGCATCTGCAAATCGACGCTGAGTGTCTGGAGCAGCCGAAATTCATTGCTCAATTTCCCAGGATTGTCTACCAATTGCTGACAATGGCTCATGAATTTTCTTCTGGTGAACGGCGCAGGCACGGGTGAGCCGGGCATGTCAGAGTGAAGAAATCTTCGCAGTACTCTGAAATAGAAGAGATTGCGGTTAACTAAGATTTATTCTATAAAGCGCACAAAACAAGAAAATGTATTAATGTATCTTATCGTGTGTATTTGTTTAATCAATAATACACGATCAAAAAATAATGAGGATAAGATACGTCTGAAAAAATATGCGCGCGTGTGTGTTCAAAAAATTTTCTCGTTTCTCTTTTAAACAAATTTAAAAACAAGTTTTATGTTAAAGCCAAAATTTTATTAAGCGAAGTATTGACCGTTTTTTCCTTCTTCTTTCTGTTATCTTTCAAGTAGCTTCATTATTTCGTTCTCGTTGAATACACATTCACGTTATGTTAATTTGGCAAAAGCTGTCTATTGAAAAAAAAAAAAACGAGAAGACTTTTACAAATCTATATACACATATATCACAATAAAATAATAACACATACAATAAAATAACATACGCAATAAAAATAATATATAATATATAACACGTAATAATATATATATGTAAAGTAATGGAGATTAGAAAATCGGTCTCTAAATGGATTTAACGTTTCTGTTAACGCATTTGACGAACGCCGTTGAAGTAACGAAGAGAATCGTAGAAGTGCGCAATAGCATCTCCGTGTTTCGCGTATACACATGTCTTTCCTTCGCCGGTGTAGCGTAGGTAGCTCATTCACAGTAGGGGAATAACGAAAACTTACGCAATAAACATATACGCGTCTGACTAGAAACGGACTCAAGGACTCGATTTCCACGCAAAGATCAGAGTCATAGCCGAATCTCTGTCAATCTCGTCGGCGTTGATTTCTATTGTCTCACTCGCGTCTCGCGCAACACGCTCAAAAACATTTCCGAAGTAATTTAAAAATACTTTTCAAGACTTTTCAGAGCTCAGCACACGGTAGTTCGGCGACGTTTAAACTTCATCGAGCACCGAGCCCGTAATGTACTGTATATTTTAACGTGCGATAGACGCGCGTGCATCGCGCGACCTTGTTCACGCGCTTTAGCTATAGTTCTCTCTTCTGAGTCATACAATAAATATCGATCATTGTTCATAAACGCGCGTCCACCTGTCCTGTATACTTCAAGTTTACACATCGTTGTAACGTGATTTCGGTGGATCCGAATGTTATTGCAGCTATTTGAAACATTTTTTACAGGAACTAGAGAAATCTTATCTTATAGTTTGCTAGAACGAGATAACTCCAATTATCTTCGATCGACATCGTTTAATCAAGATACAAGAACTTATGTTGGTATGAGTTAATAGCTCTCTATTTTTTTATCTGTTACGTACGTATGTTATAATAATGAAATCTTGTCTTACATGTACGGCGAACATTTTCGTACAAGCAACATCATCGTCACCGCTATTCCCACGGAAAGAATGCCGAAGACAGCTCCGATAATGAGAGCGATATTGAGTTCTGCGTCTGGTATTGCGAAAAAAGAAAGGGGGACAGATGAAATATATGTTTTTCGCATTTCTGTTACGTAAGATGTTTGTATCAGATGGACTATTTGCCGGCCGATATAATTACAACATATACTCACTCGTTTTTATCATGAATATCTCAGAATCGGTGTAACCACCGTCAGTAAACGCCCTCATTCTGATGTGATACCATGTATCCGGATGGAGAGGCCCGTTACAATACACCCGCTCATCCATGTTGGACGAGATCTCCTTGCAGTTAACGTCCTCCCCGATTATATACTTGACGGCTTTTACGTGCCCGTAATCAGCAATGTAATTCGCTAAACAGAGTCATAAGTATTTAATAATGTATGCGCAGCGAGGTTTCGAGTTTCATCGCTTTGTAAACAATCGTCCTGCATCTATCTACGGGCATATCACCTACGATAAGGATTCCAATGTGGCCATGTCGCTTGATACGTGATTGAGAAATCGTTCATCATTGCTTCCTCCCAGGAGGGCGCATTAGGCCAATTATTGCTCTTCAGGTCGAACCTCGTGTTTGCTCGTATATTATTGTATCCTATCTTCGCCACCATGATCGCATAAAACTTGATTTCCCCGCTGGTATTGGGGAATAGAGGTAGCAAAATTGCAGCGGTCGTTGTGGTTTTGCGCGCCTTGTACGGATCCAGGGTGATTGATTTAATAATTTCATCTGTAGGTTGTGGAGGTACTATGATAGGAAAAAAAAAACTCTTAATTGTGAAATCGCAGAAAAATAGAAGAAAATATTATATTTTTTATCACATAGCTTGTTCCGCCACTTCTTTTGCAATTTTTACATGGAGAACGCAGTGATAGTAATAACATAATACGTTGGATTCTGCTTTGAACGATTTATGTTCGTATCAAATTTCAGAACAACTATCACAAATCGATAATTTTACAAACCGTGCATTTTATTATTTACTAAAGTATACTTTAATATATATTTTATAACATATATATATTCAGACTATTTAAGTGTTTTTTTTTTATATTATTCGACGCATAAAGTTACAAATAGAATTCTATCTTGAATTTTGATATAAATCTAAAGAAAGCTTAATATATTAAAGGAGAGATTTATTAATGAGAATTTTGATATTTTTAAATTGATACTTACTACCGGCAGGATACAGTACGTTTTGATTAACCGGCCATCCGAGTGTATCGACGTTTCTGATTTTGGTGGATATTGTGAAATTATAATTATACTCTCCTTTCAACTCGTTGAGATTTATCGAACACATGTAATCGTTGCGAATGTAATTCGTGCATTCATATTTCTCAAAAATAAAATGGGGTGGATATCCAGGTCTAATACCAACACCCGATACATTAAAGAATTCGAGTTCACCGTTTAATGAACACGGCAAGCCCCATGTTAGAATTGTATCCAACACATTCGTGTCATTTGAATTTTCTTTGATCGTAATAGAGGAATTGAATTTCGAGATTGCTCCTGGAACTGAATAATGACAATCATAATATTTAATCGTTAAAATATTCAAGAAAGGGGAAAAGACTATATGTTATAATTGTTAAATGCTCTTCGCAATTATATAAATATTTTACTAATAATAATGTTAATTATTTATCAACGCATACTCATTTAGTTCAAATTATTTATATCAAGATTTTATTCGTGAAAAATTGTATGAAAAAATGTATTAATAGATACTATACACAGAAACGCTTAATATTTCAAATAATTATTGAGAAATAATCTTGCATCATAATGAAATGAAGAAAAATGAAATGTACCTCCGCTATCGCTTGCAAACATGTGGGGATCACTAATATTGCTCCATCCTTCTCCTGTTCTTGCTCTCATATATACTTTATAATCCGTGAATCCCTTTGCTTCAAGATAATCGTATTCAAACACGCTTCCGCTTACATTAAATTTTTTAGCATAATAACTATTAAAACATATTTTTTCCATGTCTTGTTCTTCGCGAGGGCACCAATTTGGAATCGAGTATAATGGTTTCCAATAGATTGCGATTTCAAATTCTTCTAAATAACCGGGTAAATAATCCGGTTCGTTCCAAGACAAAGAGAATTGCGAGTCCGTGATATTTCTGACGGAAAACTCAGGTGGAGATGACACTAAAATAATACGAAATATTAACTAAAATGAATAAATATTAAGTTATATAATCAATTATTAAACGTAGCCTGTAATATTAGAGGAAGGTGATATCGAACAGCGGTTGGAATAGATAAAAATTGTTTAAAATTACATTTTAATGGATTTTGCGCGTGCAACATTTACGACAAATCCACATGAGAACCGAGATTTCTCCATACTGGAAATAAACTGCGTTGTTTAAAAATTATTGTGCATTTTGATGTGGAGATGTTATTTATGAAGTACGGCATAGTTGATGAATTAACTTCATCAACCAGTCACATTATTAAATATAAGTCAAATTTCGTTTATAATTCACCAATGTAAATGGTGTTTATTATTCTTTAAATTATGAGTTTAAAATCTCTTATCTTAAAACTACTGATAATTTCGGATATTTGAACCTTGTTTTTTCGTTGTGTATTATTCGAGTGATATCGGTGCGAACAATGAGGTGACAGATAGTATTTGAGCTTAAGTAGACTTGGCTTCTGAACTGTGTTTTGTTCTAGGTAAATATCGGGAAGAGATACGATATGGCAAGGAGAGCGTATGATATTATAGCCATTAAAAAAGTAAGAAATAAGATAATGACGATAAGAAAGATGAGTATAAATGTTTTGTTCTGAAAAGTAGATACATTAGGAGATAAATTAAAAAGTATTGCAGAGCAGGAGATAGCGTTAAAACTACAAATAATATAATAGAATAAAAAAATATTAAAAAAAATTTTTTGTTCGATATCACTTTCCAATTTATAAAAACAAGCTAATGCAATGACATTTAAAAATTTTGATTTTTTTTTTGTTTTTAGAAAAATATGATTGAAAGGTCGTTTTGATATAAGAATAATGGTTCATATTACATACATGATACGAAACATTAAATTAATTAAACTATAATATTAATGAGAATAATACGCGTACCATCCTCCAACGTTGTGGCATTGACTCCAACACTTAAATCACTGTATCCTGCAATATTAACGGTATGCGCCCAGCAAGTGTAACTTGTGAAAGGACTTAGTCCCTCTACGATTGTGTTTAGTACGAAAACAGGCTCTGCAGCAATATCGGGATCTATGTTCATCGGGGATACGCGATTCTCGGGCTCGTAGCCTTTCCCTCTTTGCTCTGTGTAATTGCATATAGTTATTATAGATGATAGCTGGCAATGATTGTTCTCTTTCTGAATGGTCCAAATCATCGACAAGCTTCTAACACTTGGCGGTATTCCTGGAGTATGCAAAAGTGGTGGATTCGTTCCTGAAATATCGAAGAAAATTTTTTCATCGTATTCTATTTTCTTCGAAACGAGCGAATGTTGAATTAATATTGGATTTTATATACCAAGTGTAATATATTATATGGAGATGAAACAATTAAAAGGTATAAGCTAATTTTGCTTACTATATGGAAGCGTGGTAGCGCTCTTGTCTATCGTATCTCCTTCTTTGTCATCTTCATTTACAGCGTTGATAAATATTTGATACATCTTGCAAGCGTGCAAATGCGAAATTATCACACTCGTGTTCGTGGTATTGGTGGTATAGTTGAAATCCGTAGTTATGTAATAATGCTTCAGGCAGAATGTGCCAGACTCCGGAGGCTCCCATTTAACGGTCAGCGAAAAATTGCCGGGTATTACGTGAAGAGACTGCGGTGCCGACAATTCTGCAAATTGTCTATGTGTCAGACAAATTTACCGAAGATCGAGACCTATTGTCTTGGAATTGATGGAAAGTGAGTATATAAGCGAAGCACACTGTGATAAAACTTTAATTTGGGACTTATTCACGAAGAGATGTCGAGTGGTAAAGCTTGACAAGTATCTGCAAAGTAACTTTGCAGAAACAAATTGACCACAAGTTTCACAGACATTTTAGGTATCCTTCGCTATACTGTCTCTTCACTTTTCCACCAATTCTAGAACAGCTTAAGCTTACTCGGCGAAACTGTCTTCGCGGTCTCGTTTACGCCATAGGATTCCACGGAGAGCATCACCGTTTTGACGGTAAAGTGATACTCTGTGCATAGCTCGAGATCATTGGTAGTGTAATTCGTGACAAGAACTGCGGTCTTGTTGCAAGACTTTTCATCGCACTGGGTAATCGAGTAGTTGGATATACATTTCTCGTGAATTGCAGGCGCCTGCCAAGTCAGTTGAATAACGTTGACATTGATGGTGCGTGCGCTTAGGGAGATTACGTCCGCGTCCCAAAATTCCGGAACTGAAGAGAATCAATGCGATAAAGATATTCGTTAATTTCCCATTTTGACGGATCTTTAGTTTCGATAAAATAGGCATTATACTCAATAAGCAAATTGTACACTCACTGGCCGTTGTAGCTGACAGAACGACTCCTTTAGAATCCCAGAATACGGTGGGGGAGGTATTAATTTTCACTTTAAATTCATATTGCGTGCATGGATCCAGATCGGTAGCGTTATGCCAGGTGTCAATTCCATATGTCTGCGTACAGTTTTTTTTATCGTCGCATATTTCGATGAAATATGTTATCGAGGAGTTTGTCACTTTACACGGAGACTTCCATGAGAAAACGATCCATTCTGTGCCTATATCATCCGTCTTTAAATCAACTACCTCCTTTGTATCAACTGAGGACAAAATTGCAAGATGCGAATGCATAAGAGATCTCAAGATGAAACATACCGCAAAGAATAATCGTTAATAATTTTCCGAACAATTCAGTGATAATTATAAATGAAATTTAAATCGAGAATAAATCGAATAAGAGAAAGATTCCTATTTTCGGTCAAAGATCTTCATATGCAAAATTGACGATCAATGTAATTTACGATTTAATTATACGATATTATTTCTAGCTTCAGTTTATGATTGCGTTTAAAAAAAATGTACTTTGCTTATGAAAAATGTACTTGGCATATGAGTATTATTAAGATGAGCTTTGAAAATAGGAATCTTTTTCTTTTTTTTATCAGTGATATATTATTAAATTCTACAAAAAGAACGAAAAATATATTTCCCCTCCCCGACTCTTCTATCGTTTAATAATTTATATTTTGTGTCTCGCTTATCGTGAAACATCTAAAATTTAAGTTTCTCACAGTATGAAATATAAAAAAATATACGCATGTTTTTAAAACTGAACATTAAAAACCAAACACTTTTCTATTCTATCTTGTAATACATGTATATGTTTTCATATTATTATAACATTTACATTTATTAGTATTTTTATATTTAATGATGGCCATTGATAATCTTTTTCCTCTAATGCTTTCAATATTTTTGGTATTAGTGTTTTTTCTAATATTAATTTTTAAAGCGAATTCTTTAATCTCTTAAATAAAAATTGGATTTTATATCAGTATACAAATATATATGATCAATTTACTTACCGCTTGTGTACATCGGATTACAGATCGTCGTATTAATTGTGCTATCGATGGAAATCACATTGTTAGGCACAGTAACAAGTCTCGTCGTAATATGATTGATAATGGATGATGAGGACTTATCAGTGACCAGATGAGAAACAGTCTTCAGGGGTTCCACAGTGGATTCGTAGGAAGTCGTGATCGCATTGTCGTCTGTGGTCGTCATGAAAGTATTTTTTGTAGATTCATCATCATAAATTATCTCAAGGTTTTCCGTCGATCCGGAATTATAATCCAATTCCGTCGACTTGGCGATCGTTGTCCCACTCGGCGTAGATGCGTCATTGTTGCAGAGCACACAGAGGAAGCGGAGAGCGAGAACAAGTAGTATCTGCAGATGTTTTTCAAGGAACATGTTCTAATGAACGCTGCAAACAAAGCAAAGCCGATCGCAATTGTCCCAATTGTTGTGAAATATTATAACTTATACGTCTTAATGCAAGAACCAGAAATCAGGAATAAAATCGATAGTCTCGTTAAATAAAAAAATTCATCACGTTCGTTACATTCGCGTTATTCACTAAAGTGACGAAATTCTTAGAATTTATGTTATAATTTAATTATTAATTACACTTTAATTATATAAATATTAATTATATAAATTTTAGGAATATAGGAGATGTATTTCTATTTCAACTTCTAAGTTTTACGTGTGACTTTGAGCATAATTTTCTCTTGCAGCGAGTCACAATGCAATATTTTCAAGTACCATCACTGACGCAAGAGACTAAAGATTTCTATTAAAATAAAGCGCATCCTCAGTTAACACAGAACGGAAATGATTTGGAAAGCCTTGATTTGCACAGCGGTCGTATCTATTTCCTTTCACGCCCGTCCGAAGGATCGTGTACGTGCGTCATTATTCAAGGATCATCTTGGTTTTTCCTCGAAACTCGTAAAAGAAAAAGGATTTTTTGCACGCTAGCAAACGGAAGTTTATTTCCGTCAAACTTGAATTTAAAGTTTAAGATACATAATTGAAGATGTATAATTGAAAATTGCAAACTGTAATTTCAGGGAGAAATAAAAATCAGATCGACGTTGATTAGAAATCGAACAACGCGGTTTAATTCATGTCGATCCGATTTTCATTTTTCGCTGGAAATGAACGACCTCACTCAGAGAAAAATCGACTTCGAATCGAAGTAATCTGCCATTACTTCATTTTATCATTATCAATTATATACCCAAACAGCACAGAATATTTATGAAAATATTTATTAATATTCATTTTTTTGAAATGTTATATAGATATTTCATACATATTTTATATAAAGCTTTATTCGAAATATTATTAAAATATAGATCAAATATTTTATTATAAATGTTTATGATCTGTGCAATCTAAGAGATCACAAAAAATATTTACAAAATATTTAAAATAAATCTTACAAATATTTATAAACATTTTGTAAATATTTTATAAATATTGTGTGCCGTCTGGGTATTGTGTATACATCGATATATAATAATAAATATCGTCGATATTCCATTTATGTATAATAACTTGCAATAAATATATATATATTTTTTAACACTATTAATCTGGAGCAGAAATTACCGCGGAAAATTCACGGAACATCACATCTCTTTTGTCTTTGATCAACACCGGGGATTTCACAATCGATGGATGTAGGAACAACACTTGATCGCTACCGATTGCGAATCGATAATTTATCGGTAATACTGTGCGCGATATTGTATCTGGTCGCGAGTCTCTCGGTGACTGTTTAAGGAACGTCAGTAACTCATTCGTCGCCGTTGTCTGCGCTTTCGATAATCATTGCCCAACTCAACCGCGCTCGTTGACAGCCTTCTGCCCGGTTGGCTGCTTGTCGCCGCTCTGGTAGTTGATATCACTGATAACGAGCTAGAGTCCACTCGTCCGACAAGAGTGCACTCTTTTGCGGCCACTTTATTAATCAAATACAAGCGCCGCCGTCCATCCGACCCCCACAGCATATTCAATTTTTTATATTCTCTCTGTATCATTCACGGGGAAGGCCGACTGGCGATCGCTGATTTTTCCATCTCGCGCTGATAATTCCGTTTTCCGATATTGCTGTTTAAATCCGCGACATTTCTAACGCAGACTCGAGTCGCACCAGTCGCACGTCTTTTTCAATTTGAGAAACGGGAGACACTTATTTTTGTTTTGCTCCGTATCATCTAAATGATTTTTTCACTATCTAAGGAATGCTAGCTTTTTCTATTGATGTAATGTTTCCATTTACAATAATAACTTTGTGATTCTAGAAACTCGAATTTTTCTCTTTTTCGTGAATTATAATTGATACTTCATAACTGATTCGGTTATTAATCTCATTCATTTTTTATACATTGCTATAATATAAATAATTTGTAAAATATAATTAAATATAACTCGAAGTTATATATGCTTATCGCATTTTACGGAAGCTGACAATTTTATCAGAAATAAAAATCGGGTCGCATATCAGCAAATCATTTTTTCTGCGAGTATTATCATTATCAATTACACTTATCTCTTCTTCTATTACTATTTCCTTGTTTTTTTAACATCATTATTTTCGAAACATGTTTCGAAAATAATAGTTAATATTAAAATTAAAAGATACGTTTATCTCTGAAGATTATAAAGTAATTGGAATTTTATTATACTCACAATTTAACAATTAAAACAAAATCTTTTATCTTCAACCGCTAATGTAACTATACTACTGAATCTTGTCAACACTAATTGTACGGGTCATTTTTTTCTCATCCTATAAATGTAAATAATAAATCCTTAAAATATTTTATATACCAATTATATATTAATTTTTTATATGCATTTATATTGGGTATATAAATATAAGCTCCAGTATTTTCAAAGTGAAATAATTTTGTATCAAGATCTCAGATGATCCATATACTTACTATCTTTGACTTTCGAAAAGAAATTCGAAGCACACATGGCATTCATTTCACCAACGAACTTACCCGAATACTTTACTCCATCGATGCTCGTCCAAAAATCCTGGGGAGAAACAAATTAAGGAATGCGTGTAGTCGTCAGAAGAATTTCACAAGGATAGCTAAGCGTGAAAGTGCGAAAAAAGGGAGCAAAAGACTAAACGCAGGTCCTCGGTTCCGTTGGCATCTGCTTACGAAGCGGAACTCGAAACCATGTGCCTCTTCAAAGCACAGCGACCGCCACCAGACTGCCCCCACAAAGATCGTTGGAAATAGCGTGGCTGTGGTGTCTGTTCGAGCTTAGTAGACCTCGGTAGGACCCACGCACACACATATGTACAACCACACACAAACGCGGTCCCTAAAGAAACATCCATGAACCGGATCCAGAGTCCGGCTACATCCTTTATCGCCTATTGTCGCGTGACACGTAGACCCTTACCTATCACATATTTCTCCCGAGGGATCTTAACAAATCCTAGCAGGTACCCCAGACAACACGCATATTTGAAAGAGATCTTTTAAACATGCATACCTTGATGCATGCTGTGTTCGTGTAGTAAAACTATAAAACGAAAATAATTTGAATATCTTAAGTTACTCTAAAATACATTAAAATATATGAGATGTTATTATTAACTAAATCACTTATATAGAGTTGACAAAAAACACGTTTCAAACGTGTTTTAAACAGTTTAAAAAATGCTTTGATGTTTTTAATGTTTTAAATGTTTTTTTTTTATAATACTGTTTAAAGCATATTTAAGAAGAAACATGTTTTATTCTTAAAAAAAGTCTTTACCAACCCTGCTTATAATATTGGTATAAATTTTTCTACCCGTTTTTTTTTCTGATATAAATTATTAAATTAAGATTTCACTTCAAAACAAAAACTGGTTACTGTACGTTAAAAGCTAATATACTTTTTGAATTATTTTAGAAATATTTTATAACATCATGATTCTTTCTGTCATTCATTCGACAAAGCTTTATCAATTTCTTATGTCGCTAAGATTAAACAAATATCTATCCTATCAAAATTCTACGAATTTCAATTAATTTATAGCACTGCATTTGAAACATTGAATCTATTGCAAATGTAATGAAAGAAGAAGAAAAAATCAATTTATCAATTTGGATTCTTTTTCAGTTTTATTGAAATGAATATACATTCGAAATCAATCGTACCAAGTGTAACTTAGTACAATCTCTGTGGTGGTCCCATGGTCGATTTAATATGAAGCGATCGCACGTTCTGCCAGTGTTTTTTTAACAAAGAAACAAGGAAGTTTATTGAGAGATGGACATTTTGCACCAACTCTTCAGGTGTCATTTCAACGTGTCCAACGGCTACTGACAGACACAACACCTGTAGAACAAAAACAGTCATTACAAAAAAGCTGTAAACAAAGTTTTATATTAAAGAAAAAAAATTTAAACAGAAAGCTATTCAGTACAACGCACCTTCTTCATTTGGAATTTGATGGTAGCCTTGACTTCGTCAATTTTGCCGACCATCGATTCTTGGTGGGACAACAATCCAGGGAATTTACCGGCTTTATTTAAACCAGGACCGAGAAGACGAGGAATTTGCTTGATCAACGACTCGCTAGCCAAAAATGCATCATATTTTTTTGCTGTAAAAAGAATATATAAAAAATATTATTTAATTTTAATCTTTGATAAATACTATAACTCATATTAAAACTTTGGTAGCTTCTCCAATTTTTAGGAAATTTTTAAACTTAAAAAAGAATATCTTTGTAAAAAGGAAACAAAGATTTTTTAAACAGATTTTTATTCAATAAGATACATGTATCGACACGGATTGAGATGTAATGATACGATTCACATTACCCTCACCAAGTGAAGAACTTTAATCTCCTTCCTCTTGACGACCACCATTGTTTGAATATTAAGCAATGATGGTGCTTTTGGGAAGGTTGAACGCAATTATTTCATATTAAAACACATGCAAAAACATGTTATTAACATACCGAGCTTCTTGACGAGTTTTTTGTTCTTGTTAAGTTTCTTCAATGCTTCTGCATCCATATACGGAATATTATTAGCTTTAGCTTCGTCGCAGTGCTGTTGGTCGCCAAGAACACATACTTGCATTTTTGGTCTAGGGATATTCTTCAATCTAACATAATAAAACTCAATAGTTAGATTAACGTTTAAATAAATATGCTTATGTCTCATGACTTTAATATGATTAACGTCTACAATATTTATCTTCATTACAAAATCATATCGTTAGAATAACAATTTTCAAATCAATCAAACGAAAAATAGCAATATCTAAGAGTCCCAATGTTCTCAGATTTAAATGATTTACTACACAAATTCTTCAGATAATACATGCAACAAATAAAACATCATAGAACACTGTGGCGATTCAATAAATTTTAATTATAAAAATGATACATATACAAATAACTATTTGTTACTTGACTTTCAGATAGAATTTGTAGTATTCTTAAAAAAAAACTCTATTTCACATTTCTTCCTTTAAGGGTGATGCTCTAAGAATAACTTACCAATAGGATCATGATCCTATGTAATTTAAATAACGGTATAAATACCTCCCCAATTAATTTAAGACCCTGGGTACAGGTCCGCTAGATAAAAATCTAGCTCCCTGACATTACATGAGGCAATTTTTATATTCTTAATAAAGAATATGATTTATTAAGATTTTTAAAATGCCTCAAAGTCAGGTAGAAACATACTTGACAGTGCCTGAGAAACGCTTGTCCTTCTGTGGATCATAGTTCTTCAAACCGATCTGCAATTCTATAGTTTCCAAGAAGTTTCTTTTCTTATCTTGCGAGTTTTGGAGCACAGCATTTACGCACTCGTAAAGAGTGTCACGGGAGACCTTCGATCTGCAATCAGAACGAAATAAAATGCACGTGCACCATCATTTTTTTTGCTAGTCCAAATATTCTTTTGTACGAAAAGCTTGATAATTTTAGCAATTTTTTTCATCATATATAAAATCTTTAGAAAATTAATGTTGCATTTATTCACGTAAAAATAAAACATTTACAGCTTTTAGATTTTCCATGCATGTATTAATGGTTATATCAATACTTGCATCACATTAGAAAGTACTCCAAAAATAATATATCTTCGTTAACAATTGTCGTTTAATGCTTTTATTCGTAGAAAAATGGCAAACTTCATGCATGTGATCGCAATTATTCGATAGGATTATATACTCACGTCATTTTACTGGAAAGAGGACGAAGAGAATACGACTAATGTTCTCAGAGACCGATACCGGAAAAGAATGAAACGTGAAGTAACGCTTATAGGGACAGGAAGTTCGTTACTGGCGTCGTTCGCTTATTGATAGATGGCAGCTCTATAGCGAATGTGATTAGAGTCCCTAGAATCAGACATGGCGGATCCCTAGAATTCCTAGATATAATTCTAGGGATTACCTAAAGATCATTATGGCCGCAGCACAGACTCTTGCATAACGCATAATGCATAGTGCATAAGAGAATCGACCAATCAAAATTCTTCTTTTCCATGGAATGGGAGGAAAGGAAAGATTCTGATTAGTTGATTCGCTTATGCACTATGCGTTATGCAAGAGTCTGTGCTGCGACCTTTAGCCTTGCTTTCCAGCAAGGACACAGTCAGACACTGTGTATCACGGTGAGTCGTTTTATCCTTGTTTAACGTTGGCAAACAACAAGAATAAAACGACTCACTGTATTACACAGTGTCTGACTATGTCCTTGCTGGCAGCAAGCTAGGCTGCCTTCCCATGGAGAAAGAAACTTCGGAACGGAATATTGACAGAAAAGAGATAGGATGAGGATAACCCTCGTTCTACCTCTTTTCTGTCAATATTCCGTTCCGTGGTTTCTCTCTCCATGAAAGGGCAGCCTTAAGGGTGAAATCAC